TTCAAGTTTTCTAGATGTACACTGATTTTCCAGTTTGGATGCTCGGACGGATTTCTTGGCTACTCATTACGGTTTAAAAGCAGCAAAACAAATTTCAAAATTTCTTTAAAGTATCTTTTTCGAATGAGTTTTTGAAAGTCACACAGTGTGATTTGTTATAGATGAATACGATAATGTGACACTGATGTATGCGAAGCATGAAAAAATTCCTATGAAGGATTTCGGATCGGAGATTCGAGCCACTATGGACATCGATCATTTACTCAACAAATCAGTCCTGTTACTTGATTTGCAGGAAACATCGCTCGAAGAAATTTTTGCAAAGTGCGTAGACTTTTTTTTTTTGACTAAAAGCCATATTGGCAAGCGCCCTGGGGCATCAGTGATGCTAATTGGATTGCAGCTTTGTGATTACATACGGTCTTTTGAAACAAACAAGCATTAGCGGAATTTATCAGAAATTGCAGGTTGTAGCTGTTTTCGTATCGGCAAGATTTCGCGTCTTCTACGGACGCTTCAGTGCTTGATTTATGAGGGTCACGAAAACCCCGTGTTTATGAGGCAACCTTAGTACACTCTTGAACTCAGTGCATAAATCGTCAAAAAGTCAAAGTTAGAGCTGCTTCCATGTTCGCTCTGTGTGACAGGCACAGGTACTAGGGTAGCTAGCCTGAGTGATAGCAGATGTCAGCAACTACTTACCGGCCCCCCTCCTTCTGGGGTTGCTTACAAACAAACTGATGGCGACTTTACTCCCCGGTGTATGCTGTATCGATTTATCATCGAAACAACTGAACGAACTGTGTCTTACCGATGCTGTCGAACTCTTTTCATGCAATCAGCATTATTTCCGTCAGCGCTATCCTTACCGGCTTATACATTTTTCGAAATCTTCGTCATAAATATTTTAGAATAATCCACGAAATGGACATTCAGGAGCCTGAGTTCACCAGTGAACAGGTTAGGTCGGTGCTTTTCACTCAAGACGCTGGAAATCAGTGTAAGTCT